TTTCTCAGCTTATACGGTCATCCATCTTTCCAAGTCGTGGGCTTCTCGACTCAAGCCTTTTCTACCGATCATCAAGGAGATATCAAACCAAGATATCTAATCAAGAAATGTTAAGACTCTATAAAAATCAAATAAATTGTTAAAATCGTTGATCGACAAAGCTCCGATCATTTCTTTTTATATTCTCTCAGCTTATACGGTCATCCATCTTTCCAAGTCGTGGGCTTCTCAAGCCCTTTCTACCGATCACCAAAGGAGATATCGGTACCTGTTACACATTCCTATTACACACTCAACCATAAATTGATCGTGAAATAACGGTTCGAGCCTCGTTTGTTTCCCGTTGGTCGTTGCAAAAATTGCTCATCCGTACGAGAATATTGGCAATATCTGATTAGCGCCCGAGGAACGACGGCCCTGACGCATGACGAGTCCTTATTTGGATTGGGGGGCCGTCGGCCGCCGCCTCGTCGCGACGCACGGCGTCTCTCCCTCTCGGCGTTGCTGTTAGGGCGGCTAAGGACTAGGCGGCGGCGGCGGGTTGGGACGAGTGTTAATGCACGATAGATTTCCATCTAAGGGGCGGATCGCTATTTTCGGCTGCGAACCGATATGGATAAAGGGACCCCACAGAGCCGGCACTGTGCCACTCGCCGCTCTCGGTCTCTTGCACGACGTACGCCCTAAGCGACCATTGCCGATCTCTCGACTCATTAGTGAACGGTAAATCGAACGTGTGTCTTTCAATCAGCATCCTAATCAGAGCCTTCAACCCTTTGCACTCCGAGAATCTTCTCGAAAGCAACGACTAACTCGAGGTGATTTCGCGGGACCATTTACGAAAAGCAAAGTGTTCGAATCGCCACCGAACTCGATCCGAACGCTTGGAATTTCAGTTTCATCCGTTTGTTTCGTTAATATCGGGCTGTGTTGCCATAAATATGGTGGATACCGTGGTGCATATTAACACTTTATCTACCGTGAGCCTATTTATCGATTTCAGTGATCACCTTGTGGAATATATTAACTGTGTTATCGGTCGCCTAATTGCGATGCTTGATTTTTAAGAACATGTAATATAGCTGGTAACGGTACGCACAAGTTAATAGCCAGCCTAGATTTATATCTAATAACGTAGAAGGTTTAGAAGGATCTTTCTAAATAGGCCTTTCTAAATAGGTGGTTAAAGTGTTAAGTATGTGGAGTGCAGAGGGTTAACCAGTGTGGTATCGGCGAGCTTCGCAATTGAAACAGAACTTTGAGGCTGCTTCGGTCTTCGTGAATCTTGGACTCGGATTGCAACGATCGCGGTACCAGTGGATCTCGATGGATTTTGTCGTTGTGCATTTATTGTATCATAATTCAGTGATTTCACGACAAAAATCGATTGATCGACCTTGTCCAGCACGAGGACCGAGCGCATCTGGTCTATCGCGGATACCGTTTCATCTTGCATGTCCCTGGACGATTGTGAAGTGACGTTTCCGCGAATGTGACTCTAATACTTGTGCCTCTGTAGTTACTGACAATCACTTAGAATACACATTTTACCATACAAGAATATTAAAAAATAATTGGTTACAAAGTTTTGCCTTGTATCGCAGGAGTAACTAATCGGAATACCACGAAATTTGTTGTTGTAATTTCCATATATTCTTGTACACTATTTCTAGTCAACTTTTTGTTTTCAATTTCTAAATTCGGTAAGATTAAAAGTTTTTTTCTATTAAAGAGAAAATAATTTTATACACACATTTGATATTCAATTATTTATAAGTCTAATTCAAATAAAAATATTTACCCTGCATTTCGTTACGTACAATAAAAGCACGCAGATCGTTTTAACATTTAGTTTGAAAATTTAGTTCGTTAGAATGCGTGACTGAGGGAAGATCAAACCTCAGAGAAGCACAGATTGTTGATCTACAAGAACAATAAAAGCATGTTGCCGAGTATGTACAGACTGTTTGTCAGACACCCGTCCGCATAGGCTAAAATATCTAAGAAGAAATTTACACGGTCTAATGTATTCGATCAATGTTTGCAGTAAGGTAACGCTAAAAACGAATCAAGATGTGTGATGATGATGTTGCGGCACTAGTCGTGGACAATGGGTCCGGTATGTGCAAGGCGGGATTCGCTGGAGATGACGCACCGCGTGCTGTCTTCCCCAGCATCGTCGGCCGCCCTCGTCATCAGGTTCGTCAATCTCCAAAGTTTATCCTTTGTCTCATCTGAAACTTCATTCCACTGACACAACAACTTCCATTTAAAAATGGAATCACGTCGTTACTCTTATTATCTTATTATAAACACTCGTTGTCGCAATCTATCCGAGGGATTGTGAATCATAGTAGTGTAAAACAAAAAATAGAATAAGTTGGACTATACAGTTGCTTAGTCTCAATTTTCTTTACTTTATTTACGCCACTACGATTCTCAGCTTCTTTTTTTAAATATTCTCTGAAAAATAATCAAAATCCTATGACTGGAATATCAGGATTAATTGTTATTTTATAATGAAAGCTAATCTTGTTCTCAGACTGCGGATTTTATGCTACAAGTTAATATAATAAATACATGCTAAACATAATCAAAATTTATGTGTATTTATACGAAACGAAATAATAGTAATATCATATTAGTTGTAGAACATATTGAACATACATCATATGTACTTTTTGTATGTATGTTCTCCACATTACTGTACGTTATTAATGTACAAACAAATATAATAAGTATATGCTAAACATGAACAAAAGGCATGTGCACTTATGCAAAATGAAATAAAAATATTATTGTATCAATTTGTTGAATACGTTCACCATTAATTGTACATATTTTACGAAGGTTTTCTATAGTACTGGACGCCATAAATGCATTATATCCGCAATTCGTCTTATCTACTTATTCCAAAGTTAAATATCATGAGACTTGAAATCACAATATTTCGTCAGATCTACTTATAACAAATACCAATTCACGCGCCTCTAACGTTTCTTTAATATCTCCTCAGGGTGTGATGGTCGGTATGGGTCAAAAGGACAGCTACGTGGGGGACGAGGCGCAGAGTAAAAGAGGTATACTGACGTTAAAGTATCCTATAGAACACGGCATCATCACCAATTGGGACGATATGGAGAAGATCTGGCACCACACCTTCTACAACGAATTGCGTGTCGCACCCGAGGAACACCCCGTCCTCCTCACCGAGGCCCCCTTGAACCCAAAAGCTAACCGTGAGAAGATGACCCAAATCATGTTCGAAACCTTCAA